AATTGTTACTGAGGGCCACAGAACCGTTACTTAGGGCCACAGAAACGTTAATCAGGGACACAGAATTGTTACTGAGGGCCACAGAACCGTTACTTAGGGCCACAGAAACGTTACTTCAGGGACACAGAATTGTTACTGAGGGCACAGAACTGTTACTTAGGGCCACAGAAACGTTAGTTAGGGCCACAGAATTGTTACTCAGGGACAGACACAGAATTGTTACTGAGGGCCACAGAATTGTTACTTAGGGCCACAGAAACGTTACTTAGGGCCACAGAATTGTTACTCAGGGACACAGAATTGTTACTGAGGGCCACAGACACCGTTACTTAGGGCCACAGAATTGTTACTGAGGGACACAGAATTGTTACTGAGGGCCACAGAACCGTTACTTAGGGCCACAGAATTGTTACTCAGGGACAGGCACAGAATTGTTACTGAGGGCAGAACAGAATTGTTACTGAGGGCCACAGAATTGTTACTGAGGGACACAGAATTGTTACTGAGGGCCACAGAATTGTTACTTAGGGCCACAGAATTGTTACTCAGGGACAGACACAGAATTGTTACTGAGGGCCACAGAATTGTTACTTAGGGCCACAGAAACGTTACTCAGGGACACAGAATTGTTACTGAGGGCCACAGAACCGTTACTTAGGGCCACAGAATTGTTACTCAGGGACAGACACAGAATTGTTACTGAGGGCCACAGAATTGTTACTTAGGGCCACAGAAACGTTACTCAGGGACACAGAATTGTTACTCAGCTGAGGGCCACAGAACTGTTACTGGGGCCACAGAATTGTTACTCAGGGACAGACACAGAATTGTTACTGAGGGACAGACACAGAATTGTTACTGAGGGCCACAGAATTGTTACTTAGGGCCACAGAATTGTTACTCAGGGACAGACACAGAATTGTTACTGAGGGACACAGAATTGTTACTGAGGGCCACAGAACCGTTACTTAGGGCCACAGAATTGTTACTCAGGGACAGACACAGAATTGTTACTCAGGGACACAGAATTGTTACTGAGGGCCACAGAAACCGTTACTTAGGGCCACAGAAACGTTACTCAGGGACACAGAATTGTTACTGAGGGCCACAGAACCGTTACTTAGGGCCACAGAATTGTTTACTCAGGGACAGACACAGAATTGTTACTGAGGGACACAAATGTTACTGAGGGCCACAGAACCGTTACTTAGGGCCACAGATTGTTAATCAGGGACACAGAATTGTTACTGAGGGCCACAGAATTGTTACTTAGGGCCACAGAAACGTTATTCAGGCACAGAAATGTTACTGAGGGCCACAGAATTGTTACTTAGGGCCACAGAAACGTTACTTAGGGCCACAGAATTGTTACTCAGGGACAGACACAGAATTGTTACTGAGGGACACAGAATTGTTACTGAGGGCACAGAAACTGTTACTTAGGGCCACAGAATTGTTACTCAGGGACACAGAATTGTTACTGAGGGCCACAGAACCGTTACTTAGGGCCACAGAATTGTTACTGAGGGACACAGAATTGTTACTGAGGGCCACAGAATTGTTACTTAGGGCCACAGAATTGTTACTCAGGGACAGACACAGAATTGTTACTGTTACTCAGAATTGTTACTGAGGGCCACAGAATTGTTACTTAGGGGCCACAGAATTGTTACTGAGGGACACAGAATTGTTACTTGAGGGCCACAGAATTGTTACTTAGGGCCACAGAATTGTTACTCAGGGACAGACACAGAATTGTTACTGAGGGCCACAGAAACGTTACTCAGGGACACAGAATTGTTACTGAGGGCCACAGAACCGTGTTACTTAGGGCCACAGAATTGTTACTCAGGGACAGACACAGAATTGTTACTGAGGGCCACAGAATTGTTACTGAGGGCCACAGAAAACGTTACTCAGGGACACAGAATTGTTACTGAGGGCCACAGAATTGTTACTTAGGGCCACAGAATTGTTACTCAGGGACAGACACAGAATTGTTACTGAGGGACACAGAATTGTTACTGAGGCCACAGAATCATTACTTAGGGACACAGAATTGTTACTCAGGGACAGACACAGAATTGTTACTGAGGGACACAGAATTGTTACTGAGGGCCACAGAACCACAGAACCGTTACTTAGGGCCACAGAAACGTTACTCAGGGACACAGAATTGTTACTGAGGGCCACAGAACCGTTACTTAGGGCCACAGAATTGTTACTCAGGGACAGACACAGAATTGTTACTCAGGGACACAGAATTGTTACTGAGGGCCACACAGAATTGTTACTTAGGGCCACAGAATTGTTACTCAGGGGACACAGAATTGTTACTCAGGGACACAGAATTGTTACTGAGGGCCACAGAACCGTTACTTAGGGCCACAGAATTGTTACTCAGGGACACAGAATTGTTACTGAGGGACACAGAATTGTTACTTAGGGCCACAGAATTGTTACTCAGGGACAGACACAGAATTGTTACTCAGGGACACAGAATTGTTTACTGAGGGCCACAGGATTGTTACTTAGGGCCACAGAAACGTTACTCAGGGACAGGGACACAGAATTGTTACTCAGGGACCACAGAATTGTTACTCAGGGACACAGAATTGTTACTCAGGGACACAGAATTGTTACTGAGGGGACACAGAATTGTTACTGAGGGACACAGAATTGTTACTGAGGGACACAGAATTGTTACTCAGGGACAGACACAGAATTGTTACTCAGGGACAGACACAGAATTGTTACTGAGGGACACAGAATTGTTACTGAGGGCCACAGAACCGTTACTGAGGGCCACAGAAACGTTACTCAGGGACAGACTGACAGGCACAGAATTGTTACTCAGGGGCAGACACAGAATTGTTACTGAGGGACACAGAATTGTTACTGAGGGACACAGAATTGTTACTGGGGGACACATAATTGTTACTCAGGGACACAGAATTGTTACTGAGGGCCACAGAACCGTTACTTAGGGCCACAGAATTGTTACTCAGGGACAGACACAGAATTGTTACTCAGGGACACAGAATTGTTACTGAGGGCCACAGAACCGTTACTTAGGGCCACAGAAACGTTACTCAGGACAGACACAGAATTGTTACTCAGGGACAGACACAGAATTGTTACTCAGGGACACAGAATTGTTACTGAGGGACACAGAATTGTTACTGAGGGCCACAGAATTGTTACTCGGGGACACAGAATTGTTACTGAGGGACAGAATTGTTACTGAGGGACACAGAATTGTTACTCAGGGACAGACACAGAATTGTTACTGAGGGCCACAGAACTGTTACTTAGGGCCACAGAACTGTTACTTAGGGCCAGAGAATTGCTACTTAGGGCACAGAAACGTTACTCAGGGACACACAGCCATTGTTACTCAGGGACACAGAATTGTTACTGAGGGACACAGAATTGTTACTCAGGGACAGAGAATTGTTACTGAGGGCCACAGAAACTGTTACTTAGGCCACAGAACTGTTACTTAGGGCCACAGAATATACGTTACTCAGGGACACAGAATTGTTACTCAGGGACACAGAATCGTTTAATTAAAGAGTATGTCAGACAACATGCAGAGGAGTGGCAGAGGAGGCAATGTTTTAGGAGGGAGCAGACGGACGTGGCAGCAGAGGAAGGGGTCGAGGCAGCACTATTCACAGCCAGAGGCTTGTGCTCCCGGTGTCATCCAGTACAGTGAGGAAGAGCTAACAGAGGGCGGTCAGGAACAGGGGGGCAGACATCCGCATGCTGCTTCAGCAGCCAGGCGAAAAGAAGTGGGCGAGGAGAGTGGCTTGGTAGCCGGTGTAGAGACAGGTCTGTCTCCATGTGCCACACACGCAGCTCACGAGGGGGCTAGTAGTGAGGCGGGGACCCTAATTGATGATGATGAGGCTGATCGCACTTGGCAGCCTCGTCGTCATCAGGCTATTGCTTCCGCATCATCATGAGAAGAGGGTGGCAGCTTGGCAGCGAGCAAAACAGTCGGTCCCTGTGGGTTGTCTCCATCGCCACACTCTGCCATGTGCCACTTTCAGGTCTCCTCACACACTGCTGTTGTGTTGAATTTTTTGACATAGGGTGCTGGCAGATTACGGCCTCCCATAGCTGCTGCCAGTTGGCCCCTAATCTGCCATGGGCCCCTATATACCGCCTCCTCATGCTGCTGCCAAGTCCAGAGTCTCTCATGGGTCCTGTACGGCCTCCCATTGCTGCTGTCTCCATCGCCACACTCTGCCATGTGCCACTTTCAGGTCTCCTCACACACTGCTGGTGTGTTGAATTTTTTGACATAGGGTGCTGGCAGATTACGGGCCTCCCATAGCTGCTGCCAGGCCCCTAATCTGCCATGGGCCCCTATATACCGCCTCCTCATGCTGCTGCCAGGTCCAGAGTCTGTCATGGGTCCCTGTACGGCCTCCATTGCTGCTGTCTCCATCGCCACACTCTGCCATGTGCCACTTTCAGGTCTCCTCACACACTGCTGGTGTGTTGAATTTTTTGACATAGGGTGCTGGCAGATTACGGGCCCCATAGCTGCTGCCAGGCCCCTAATCTGCCATGGGCCCCTATATATCACCGCCTCCTCATTATGCTGCTGCTGCCAGGTCCATTGCTGCTGTCTCTCGCCATGCCATGTGCCACTTTCAGGTCTCCTCACACTGCTGGTGTGTTTGAATTTTTTGACATAGGGTGCTGGCAGATTACGGGCCTCCCATAGCTGCTGCCAGGCCCCTAATCTGCCATGGGCCCCTATATACCGCCTCCTCATGCTGCTGCCAAGTCCAGAGTCTGTCATGGGTCCCTGTACGGCCTCCCATTGCTGCTGTCTCCATCGCCACACTCTGCCATGTGCCACTTTCAGGTCTCCTCACACACTGCTGGTGTGTTGAATTTTTTGACATAGGGTGCTGGCAGATTACGGGCCTCCCATAGCTGCTGCCAGGCCCCTAATCTGCCATAGGCCCCTATATACCGCCTCCTCATGCTGCTGCCAGGTCCAGAGTCTCTCATGGGTCCCTGTACGGCCTCCCATTGCTGCTGTCTCCATCGCCACACTCTGCCATGTGCCACTTTCAGGTCTCCTCACACACTGCTGGTGTGTTGAATTTTTTGACATAGGGTGCTGGCAGATTACGGGCCTCCCATAGCTGCTGCCAGGCCCCTAATCTGCCATGGGCCCCTATACCGCCTCCTCATGCTGCTGCCAGGTCCAGGCGAACGTAGTCACACAGGGGAGGAACTTCTCAGTGTAATGAACAGAGAAATCGACAGATGGCTGTCTCCGCGCAAACTGAAAATCGGAACCATGTTGACCGACAACGGAAAGAACATGGTGTCTGCTCTGCGTCAAGTAAGGTTGTGCCATGCGCCATGCATGGCTCACGTGTTCAATCTGGTTGTCAAGCGGTTCCTAAAATCCACCATCCCACTGCAAGACATCCTTAAAATGTCACGTAAACTTTGCATGCATTTCAGCCATTCCTACACCGCAAAGCACACCCTCCTTGAGCTGCAGCGGCAGAACGGAATTGCACAGCATCGCCTGATCTGCGACGTTGCAACAAGGTGGAATTCAACCCTACACATGTTGACCGCCTTTACGAACAGCGAAAGGCCATCACCGATTTCCTGATGTTACAAGCGGATAAAGGTACTCCCCTGTGTAACTTCGATGTCAGCCATTGGCAGCTCATGCGTGACACCTGCCGCTTGCTCAGGCCCTTTGAGGAGGCCACGCTATTCGTGAGTCGGCAGGACTATGGGATGAACGACGTCATTCCTCTGTTGCACGTCCTGGAACAAATGCTGTTAACAATGGCTGGTCAGGGTGCGGTAGACGTGGCGCACAGATCTCAACGCCACATGACCCCTGTGGGGGCAGGACAGGAAGAAGAGGAGGAGGTAGAGGAGGACATTTGTGCTCAGGAATTATTGAGTGAAATGGGTGGTTTTTCCACTCAGCGGACAGGAGTGGAGGAGCAGGAGCATCTGGTAGAGGAGGAGGAGGGAGACAGAGGACCCAGACGCACCGTGGCAGTATGCTGTGGAGATGGAGGCAGGGAGTCCCTCGCATTCCTTGGCACAAATGGCCCATAGCATGCTCGGTTGCTTGCGTAGCGACAGCCGAATAATAACCATCAGACAGAGGGATGACTTTTGGCTGTCCACCTTGTTGGACCCTCGCTACCGTTCAAAAATGGTGGCCTTTTTCACACCTGCTGAGAGGGAGGCCAAAATAACGTACTATAAAAACCACCTATGTAGTCAGTTGGTCTCTGCCTTTCTGCGCCAACGTCCATCCTCAGACACTGTGGGCCCTGTGCGCTCGTCGCGTTCCGCTGCCATGGCAGCAGGGGAGGGGTGGGGTGGTAGGAGCAGTGGCAGCTCCACCAGCAGCGGCTGCCTCAGTCTGCAGTCGATGATGAGTAGCTTTCTTCACCAGCGCAGTGAGGAAACTACTAACCAGCCGCAGCAGCAGCAGCATCAGGTGGACCTGGAGCAGGACCTCAAACAACAGGCTTAGGCCTACTTGGACAGCACCCTGCCAACCGAGGTAGACAATCCCCTTGACTACTGGGCAACGAAACTTGACCTTTGGCCCCAACTAGCTGAATTTGCCCTTGAAAGGCTGTCATGCCCGGCCAGTAGCGTGGCATCGGAGCGCGTGTTTAGTGCGGCAGGAGGTATTGTAACTCCTCATGGAGGACACGACTGTCCACCCAAAGTGTGGAGAGACTCACATTTGTGAAAATGAATCAGGCGTGGATTAGTCTGGATTTCAAACCACCAGTTCCTGACACAACTGACTAAATCCGCCATGAATCATGCCCCAAACATGTGCCACTTTCAGGTCTCCTCACACTGCTGGTGTGTTCCATTTTTTGTCATAGGGTGCTGGCAGATTACGGGCCTCCCATAGCTGCTGCCAGGCCCCTAATCTGCCATGGGCCCCTATACCGCCTCCTCATGCTGCTGCTGCCAAGTCCAGAGTCTGTCATGGGTCCCTGTACGGCCTCCCATTGCTGCTGTCTCCATCGCCACACTCTGCCATGTGCCACTTTCAGGTCTCCTCACACTGCTGGTGTGTTGAATTTTTTGACATAGGGTGCTGGCAGATTACGGGCCTCCCATAGCTGCTGCCAGGCCCCTAATCTGCCATGGGCCCCTATACCGCCTCCTCATGCTGCTGCCAGGTCCAGAGTCTCTCATGGGTCCCTGTACGGCCTCCCATTGCTGCTGTCTCCATCGCCACACTCTGCCATGTGCCACTTTCAGGTCTCCTCACACACTGCTGGTGTGTTGAATTTTTTGTCATAGGGTGCTGGCAGATTACGGGCCTCCCATAGCTGCTGCCAGGCCCTAATCTGCCATGGGCCCCTATACCGCCTCCTCATGCTGCTGCCAGGTCCAGAGTCTCTCATGGGTCCCTGTACGGCCTCCCATTGCTGCTGTCTCCATCGCCACACTCTGCCATGTGCCACTTTCAGGTCTCCTCACACACTGCTGGTGTGTTCCATTTTTTGTCATAGGGTGCTGACAGCTTACGGGCCTCCCATTGCTGCTGCCAGGCCTGTAATCTGCCATGGGCCTCCTTACCGCCTGGTCACGCTGCTGCTGGGTCCACAGTGTGACATGGGTCCCTGTACCGCCTCCCATTGCTCCCACTCTGCCATGTGCCACTTTGAGGTCTCCTCACACTCCTGCTGTTTTTCCATTTTGTCATAGGTTGCTGGCAGATTACAGGCCTCCCATAGGTGCTGCCAGGCCCCAAATCTGCCATGGGCCCCCGTACCGCCTCGTCACGCTGCTGCTGGGTCCACAGTGTGACATGGGTCCCTGTACCACCTCCCATTGCTCCCACTCTGCCATGTGCCACTTTGAGGTCTCCTCACACTCCTGCTGGTTTCCATTTTGTCATAGGTTGCTGTATGGCCTCCCATTGCTGCTGCCTCCACCGCCACACTGTGGCTCCAAACACTGGTTTTGGCCCCGTGACTGGCCAAATGAGTGAAGTGTGCGGTGATTCTAAGATCGACGGCACTCATCTGCATGTCATACTGACTGATAGTATTATTTCTCTTCCCCAGCAGACTCCAAGGGCATTTAAATTAAAGGTACAGTGTTCTGCACTAATATTAAGTCTCTCTGAAGCCTAGAAACACCCTTTTTTAAGTTAAATTCACAGCGAATATATTCGACTCGAATCGAATATTGTCCACGAATTCGCCGAATCAGTCGAATCGAATTTTTGAATACTTCGCTCATCTCTAATCAGTATCATTTTCATGTTGGTAACTGCTAACTTATAGGTTTAGATTTTCTTGGAGGAAACAAAAATGTCCTTTAGTGACCAAAAAAAAAAAAATATTTTTTAGTCATGTATAAAGCTTGAGGAATAAAAAAAAACCATATACAAAACTGTATATATCCTGGCAGTAATTGTTTAAATATCCTGTATATGTTATTACTGTATCTTTGCAGGTTTTTTTAAAAAAGAAGGAAATTTCAATATACAATGAAATATAAAGACCTTGCTACTCTAGGGTTATTCCTAAACCTTTACCACAAACCTGATCCCAAAACCATTAGTGTTGGGTAGATCTTATAGCAGAGTTCCAGTCTCCTCTGAAAAAAATAAGTCCGCAGCTACAAAAGTCTGTAGCTGCTGACTTTTAAAAAAACAGCCACTCACCTGTCCCAGGATCCAGCGGTCATCTCTCCCAGGCGTGGGCACCCGGCTGTGACAGCTTGTGGCTTCACAGCTGGGTACCCATTGTGCATTGTGAATGGTCCTGTAGTCTGAGACCTGTCACATGTCCCAGAAAACAGGGAGGAAGAGAATGTCCGATTTTGATTGCCTAGGTGATACCCCCCCCCCACTCCCCAAAACTGGCAATTGTTCACGGGGTGCGGGGGACCAATCCTTAAAGCTGAACTTCCCCTTTTGGGTGGAGCTCCGCTTTAAGAGAGTCCGTGGGCACCTCATATAAATCCAAGTACATTTTTCTTTGCTACAAGTTAGTAACTTGAGACCAAGGCTACAACTGATTAATATATGGCTTCCCTAATTAATCCAGCTTTTCTCAAACAGGGTGCTGTGGGGCCCTGATGTTCCTCCAGAGGCTGCTATGGGTTCCTTGAACAATGAGCAATTTCTGACTCTTATATAAGTGACCACTTTTCAGCCATCTGTAACCACTGAGCACCCATGTAAGGAGCATTCTTTGTACTAATGTAAGAACCATGTTCCCAATTCACCAAAAGTGTAAGAAGGCTCTACTCCAACAGACTCCCACAGCCCTTCACTCACTGACCACAAATGTAAGGGGGCACTACACCTACTACCAATGTAAGGGGGAACTACACTCACCAACAATGTAAGAGGACTTTCTCTACTGACTACCAACATAGGGATGCCTTCACAACTGACCAAAGTGAAAGGGGAAAAAACCTGACCACTAATGTAAGGTGGGGAATAAATTGACCAGAGTAAGAAGACCTTCTCCAATGATTACCAGTGTAAGGGGGAATTACAATAACATCTCGCTGCTCATGCTAAAGTAAAGTTATTGTAAGGGTTCACACACTTGATCTAAAGTGTGAAAAGACTTATTATTAGCTTATTAGTAGCTTGTAGACTTCTAAAACTGCAAAATACCAACTACTTGCACCCTATACCTGCAATTGCAGCAGCTCACATAGAGAGGACCAGAGATATAAAATCTAAACTCCAGGAAAATTTAAATTCCTCCCTTGCAGTGAGGCTGAAAGTAAGGGTCTTTAGTCCTGTGTAAACTAAAGCCGGTGGTGGTTCGAAACTTGGCCAGTTCAGCAGGGACTAGCTATGGGCAGTCTGATTGTACCCAATTCAATTGCTGTACAACTTGGGTACAACCAGCCTGTTGGAGTTTTCATGCAATTATTTCCAGCGGCTATAGCCACTAACAATCACTGTGTTCTCCTGGCAGGACGGCGCTCCCCGGTTGGAGAGCACAATAGCTCCACAGGAGGGATTCAAACGACTTGCAGGTTGCAGGAAAGAATATGGCATTGTCAATGGCCAGCTTTAGATTTGGAGATTGCACAGGTATAGATGTCAAGACACATTTATTTCCTAGTATATTCTCAGTTTTTGGTATACCGACACACCTACTCATTCGCCTGGTCTGTGAATCTTCCCTGCTGTTTTTGGTCTCTCCTTCTGCATTGCTATAGGATATTCCACTTGCCCATCTGCTACAAAGGGAACAAAAGGAGTGCAGTAGGAGAAATAATTTACTACTACATGTGGGTGAATGAAGTTGCTGCCAGTCTTTTACAAATATTACAAAATAGAGATGAGCGAATCGAACCAGGCGAACCGGAATTCGAGTCGAATTTCAGGAAATATTCGATTCGCGTCGAATCCGAAATTTTGCCTACTTCGGGTGCGCGAATCGAATAATATTTCCCGATCAGCCGGCAAAAGTGTCCCTGCAGTGAGCTCCGCTATTTCTGACAGTTCTCTGACAGAAGGAACACATGTTTAGCGGTTGAAACATTGTGCACATTCACTTTTTGCCGGCTTGGAATTATTCTTATTTTCATCCTACTTCTTTCTTCTTTTCTTCTTCATCCTCATCCTCAGAAGAAAAGAGGATGAGGGATGAAGAAGATGAAAGAAGAAGAAGAAGTAGGATGAAAAATAAGATAATTCCAAGCCGGCAAAAAGTGTATGTGCAGTGTTCCTCTATTTCTGACAGTTCTAAGCTCACAGCTTCTTCACATGTACAGCGGTTGAAACATCTGTATCCTAAATAATGGAAACTAATAGATACAATTTGTATCTATTAGTTTCCATTTAGGATACAGATGTTTCAACCGCTGTACATGTGAAGAAGCTGTCGAGAACTGTCAGATATAGAGGAACTCTGCACATACACTTTTTGCCGGCTTGGAATTATATCTTATTTTCATCCTACTTCTTCTTCTTCTTCTTCTTCATCCTCATCCTCATCAGATACACATAGAGGAGCTCTGCAGATACACTTAGAGGAGCTCTGCACATACACTTTTTGCCGGCTTGGAATTAATCTTATTGATGAAGAAGAAGTAGGATGAAAATAAGAATAATTCCAAGCCAGGCAAAAAGTGTATGTGCAGAGTTCCTCTATTCTGCAGATACACTTAGAGGAGCTCTGCAGATACACTTAGAGGAGCTCTGCACATACACTTTTTGCCGGCTTGGAATTAATCTTATTTTCATCCTACTTCTTTCTTCTTCTTCTTCATCCTCATCCTCAGAAGAAGAAGATGAGGATGAAGAAGATGAAGAAGAAGAAGAAGTAGGATGAAAATAAGATATGTGCAAGTTCAGATACACTTAGAGGAGCTCTGCACATACACTTTTTGCCGGCTTGGAATTAATCTTATTTTCAGAGTGAATGTCCCAGAACTGTCAGAAATTAGTCTATTTCTGACAGTTATGGGACATTCACTCCATACAGCGGTTTCAACCGCTGTATGGAGGGAATGTCATAGAACTGTCAGAATATAGACTATTTATGACAGTTCTGGGACATTCCTTCCATACAGCGGTTTGAAACATTGTATCTATTTGTGTTTCCATAAATGACATTCTGCAGATACACTTAGAGGAGCGCTGCAGATACACTTTTTGCCAGCTTGGAATTAATCTTATTTTCATCCTACTTCTTCTTCTTCTTCTTCATCCTCATCCTCATAAGAAGAAGAAGAGGATGAGGATGAAGAAGAAGAAGAAGTAGGATGAAAATAAGAATAATTCCAAGCGGCAAAAAGTGTATCTGCAGCGCTCCTCTAAGTGTTATCTGCAGAATGTCATTTATGGAAAAAAATAGATTACAATGTTTCAACCGCTGTATGGAGTGAATGTCCCATAACTGTCAGAAATAGACTATTTATGACAGTTCTGGGACATTCACTCCATACAGCGGTTGAAACCGCTGTATGGAGGGAATGTCATAGAACTGTCAGAAATAGGACTATTTCTGACAGTTCTGGGACACTCACTCCATACAGCGGTTGAAACATTGTATCTATTTGTTTCCATTTGTTTTCATCTCCAAGGGCATTTAAAT